AGGAAGTCGGAGCTGGATCCGTAAGCTCGGAAGCCAAGGCAACGCTACGGTCCCGATGCCTATGCGTATACATGCGTAGCATCGCGCTCGGACTCGGTGACCGAACCCCAACGCTCGGTACCGAGCCCGAACATGACCCAAAATGGACCGAGCCCGAATATTTTTATTTTATTTATTTATTTATTTATTTTATATATATATAGGGTTTGGGGGGCCATGGGGGGCATCGCTCATCACTCCTGAACATACACACACACACACCCCATACACATGCACCCCCAGACACCCCACACAAACCCCACACACACCCCACACACCACACACACATGAGGACGCGCTCGGCAACCCCCTAATTTCCGCTCGGCTAAACATGTTCGGTTCCCGCTCGGCCGAGAGTCCGAACACGTTCGGCTGCTCGGTGGGGCGCCGAACATGTTCGGTGTGCTACACAGACATATACCAAACTTGAGTGGATGGAATACTGAGAAGTCAAAGACGTGGGAAGATAAGTCAGAGTCAATCATTGTATCGAACAGGACGACGAGGAGTGCGCTGTGGACGCTCAGAAGCATCCGGCTGCTGCTGAAGGTCTGCCTCAGATGAAGCAGGCTTGACTTCATCGGTCTCCTCAGTCGAGGGAGAAGGAGGAGGGTCAGTGGGCTGAGGAGGAGCAGTCAAACCAACACGACGAGCACGGTCATAGGCACACACCAATATGCGTAACATGCTGCAAGTGCTCGAGGGGCTCCCAAGTAGCCTCCTCATCAGGGCAACCCTTCCAACATACGAGATACTCGACATGGGCAGGGTTGTCGTCGGTGACTCGGCGACCAATGATGTCTGAAATGAGAAACTCCTCGTGGTCGTCCACCATGATGGGTGGAGGGCGCTCGTATGGTTGTCCAACGAGACGCTCAGACGGTCTGTGCTAGGGACGCAGTAACGAGACGTGGTAGACATCGTGCACACGAGTCTGGCGTAGGTAGTCGGGCAGCTTCACACGAAAGTTGACCGGGCTAGAAGCCGTATCAGAACTGACGGCCTGAAGAATGCGGCATGGGCCAAAGAAGCGACGCTGAAACTTGCAAAGCGTGTCCGCTTCGAGCTGTAAGTAGCGGGCGTCGATAAGCACATCATCACCGACTTTGAATGAATGATTCATCCTCGATCGGTTTGCACGTGCTGCCATGCGAGTCTGGGAAACGTCTATGTGCTCATGCGCGGTCTTCATGATCGACGTCATGTGTGCAACCCAATCATCCAACGCTGGACAACTCGTGTCGGGGTGCATCTGTATTGGTCAAAGGAAGTCCACGGGAACACGAGGGTGATAACCGAGGTCGCAATAGTAAGGCGACATCCCCGTGGCTGGCGAGACGGCGTGGTTGTAGGCTATCTCCGCGTGGACAAGATGGAGATCCCACTGCTGGTCGTCACGAACAATCTTTCGGAGAATATCTTCGAGAGTCTTGTTCGTGACCTCGGTCTGACCATAAGTTTGGGGATGGTAAGACGAGGAGAAGCGGAGCTGGGTACCGTAAACCTCGTGGAACTGTCGCCAGAATCGGCTAGTAAAGCGCAGGTCACTGTCAGATTGATATGATGCTCAGAGGTAAGCAGTCATCACGCACGACTCGGTCAAACACAATGTTGGCAACCTCACGTGCGCTGATGGCATAGCGGCGCGGAACAAAGTGTGCACGCTTCGTGAAGAGATCGACAACGACCAGGATAGCATCATGACCGCGGGGGGTTGAAGGACGAAGAGGACAGATAAAGTCCATCGAGATGGACTGCCAACGACCCTCAGGGATAAGAAGAGGTTGGAGCAAACCATAAGGCAAGTGGTTCGCACTGTTCACCTCCGGACAGGTGGGACACTCTGCGACGTAGTCCTTCACAAAGTCCTTGCGCTTCGGCCTGACGTACAGGCGGCTCACACGAGCCAACGTCTTGTGGAAGCCTATATGACCGGCGACTTCCTGGTCATGGAACTCTGCTACGGCCCGGACACGTAGCTGTCCAGTGGAGGGAACGCAAATACGGGGCTCTATGATGCCCTGTGAATCGTGCCAGTACACAAGACCGTTGTCCTTGAGAGAGTAGGTCGGGACGGTCTTGCCACTCCGAAGGATCGCATGGATGTCGCGATAGTCGGGGCAGTGGCGGTACTGAGTGCGAAACTCGTCGATCACTGAGTGGTGGACGTTGGTGACCGAGATGGAAGCGAGTTGAATCTGCTCTTGATCGTGGTCAGGGCGCCGGGATAAGGCATCTGCGACCCGATTAGTCTCACCCTTTATGTGCTTAGTGGTGAAACTGAACTCGGATAGGTCGCGCCACCAGCGAGCCTATCGAGGAGTGAACTTCGGCTGTGTCAGAAAAGACTGGACAACAGAGTTGTCTATGCGCACCGTGAATGGTGCCCCGTGAAGGTAGTATTGCCCGTGCCGAGCGACATAAACTACTGCGAGAACCTCATGTTCATCAACAGTGTAGTTTATCTCAGCGGGCAGGAGCTGACGGGAGTAGAAGGCTATCCAACAATCACCTGAGCGAGACTCGACAGTGCCGCCCTTGGCGATGGTAGGAAAATAGTCAATAGAAGGTACGTCAGTAGTTGGACGAGTAGGCGTCAGGCGGAAGGCAGTGGTAGGGGTAGGGGCTGGGAAGTGAGGGATACAAGGATAAGAGGAATCAGGAGAGGAGGGAAAAATTTGGGAAAGCACTGCTCCTACAGCAAAGTCTGACGCATCGGTGGTAAGGATAAAAGGGCGATCAAAATCAGGTAGGTGAAGAACAGGTGCACATGTCACCGCCTTCTTGCGGGCGTGGAAGGCGTCCTCGTGGAGGGGTGTCCAATGCCATGGCGGGTTCTTCAGGAGGAAGGTAGAGGTAAGGACGTAGGAATAGCTAGCATATCCCTGGATGAAATTACTATAGTAGCTAGTGAGGCCTTGGAAGCTGCGAAGCTGCTTGGCGGATGTAGGGACGGGCCACTCCTCAATAGCACTGGTCTTCGCGTCGTCCATGTGGAGACCCTGGTCAGACACGTAGTGTCCTAAGAAATTCACTTTGTGCTGGCCAAAGCGGCACTTGCTCAGCTTGGCGTAGAAGCCATGTCTGCGCAAGCAGTCAAGGACATCGCGGAGGTGTCTAAGATGTTCCTCAAGGGTACGATATTAGAACAGGATATCGTCAAGGTAGACGAGAACGTACTGCTCCAGGATGTCCCTGAAGATGTCGTTCATCGCCCTCTGGAAGGTAGCGGGTGCGTTGGTGAGGCCGAATGGCATCACCGTAAACTCGTAGTGGCCGAAGCGCGATCTGAACGCTGTCTTCGGCTGGTCCACTGCAGCGACGCGGATCTGATGGTAACCGCTACAAAGATCAATCTATGTAAAGAAGCGGTTGCCTGCTAGGCGGTCGAACAGCTTGTTGGAACGAGACATGGGGTAGCTGTTCTTAACCGTGTAGAGGTTGAGGCCACGATAGTCGATGCAGAGACGGAGAGTTTCATCCACTTTGCGAGCAAAGAGGACAGGTGCACCCCATGGGGAGTTGCTGGGTTTAATGAAACACAGTGTCAGGAGCTCCTCAAGCTGACGCTTGAGTTCGGTGGCCGCTTGGATCGAGAGCCTGTAGGGTGTCTGGTGGTGAATATGGCAGTCACGCACCAACTGGATGGAGTGCTCAACGTCGCGCATCGGTGGGATGCCGGCGTACGAGAACGACGATGGGAAAACATCGTGGTACTCTCGAATGATGTCACGAACTGCGGGCTTCAGGTTGGCCGTATAGCGTGCGAGTTCATCAGCGTCAGCGTCAGGGCGTGACGGCGGGGTGGACTCAACGGACGGCGGAGGGACGGAAGTAGAGATGGGAGCCATGAAGATAGAAGGAGGATCTGGCTCCAGAGAGATGAGCTCGACGTCAGGACAGGGTGGATCATAATGCAAGAGATCCATAACATTTAGGTGACGTCGTCCTATCGGATGAAGTGAGCGAACAGTCGAGGCGAGGTGACGGTGATAGTAGGAGATGGTGTGGGCACGAAAGGCTCCGGGGGAGGAGGGTCGGGGCGTGGTGTCGCAGTGGTACCTATGAAAGGCACGCGATACGTATGTCCACACTTCTTTTTGAGAACGAGAGTTTTGGTCGCCCAATCGGCCTCTGTGCTGCGGAACCGACGAGACCACGGAGTACCGAGAATGATGTCGTACCCCATATCCATCACATCGAAATGTGCAGAGGAGCGGTGGCGACGAGACGCCGGGGAATGATCAGTCGGCTCGAGAGTGAGGAAGAAGGGGAGGTCGGTGACCGTCTGATC